CATCGACACCTTCCCGACCCCAGCCCCCAGGCCGCCCCCGTCACCGGCTGCTGTTGGAGGGGAGGAGGCAGAGGGTGAAGTTGGAGGAAGAAGAGAAGGAGAAGAGGAGAAGGAGGAAGGGGAAGAAAAGGAGAAGAAGAGGAGAAGGAGGAAGGGGAAGAGAAGGAGAAAAAGAGAAAAAGGATAGAAGAAAGGGAAGAGGGGGAGAGGAGTACTCCAACGCCGCTCGACCTCACCGGAGAAGAAAGTGACCCCCGCACCGCGACGCCCGACTCCACCGCAACCCTAGGTAAAACTCTCGTTGTCGGCCTTCGTGCCGTATGTGGTTGTGTGGGCCTTCGTGCCGTAAGTTGATATGAGGGCCTTCGTGCCGTTGTGGTTGTCGGCCTTCGTGCCGTTGTGAACGTCGGCCATCGTGTCGTGTTTTTGCAGGTTTTGGAAACCTCCCCGTGCAGGGGAGGTGCTGCCGAAATTTTGAACAAAAAATAACCTATTGTCTTTTTATGCAGGAGAAGAGTACGTCGGAGGGGACCCGGAGGACCCCGGTCGTCTTCGTCGACGTCGCGGTTTTGTCTGCGCTGCGTCGCCTCATCACTGCGTCGATTCGCCACTGCCCCGCTAGCCTTACTTCACCGACACCGGTATAAATAACCTCTTTTTGCGCATGTCTGTCGTAGCCCGCGCGTAACCCAATTAGGCGTCTCCCGTCCGAAAGAGATACGGTCGTAGGTATGCGGATCTTTGCGTATCTGCGACCGTATCTGTTTCGGATTGTCCACGTTTTTTGGACAGCCCGTGGATGCATAGATGGGTTAGTTTCCATGGTCCGCTCCGGTCCGAGAAGGAGTTTCGGCAACACCTCCCTGTTGTTCTCCGGATACACACTCTCCCTTGCAGGACGTGTATCAGGAGAACAGCGGGAGGGTGCTGCCGAAATTCTATCTCGGAGAGGAGCGGAGCATGGAAACTGACCTCATCTACGCATCCACAGGTGGGATTAGGACCTATCCTCACCTATTAGACAGTAGGAACACCACGTAGATACAATTGATGGTCACAATACTCTATGCTGTAAATGTTAAAGGATGGAGGATCGTCAGTGGATGTACACGGGCTGGAGAAGCGAGAGTGACTACGATTATGAATGGGTGAAGGGGACAGATGGTTTCTTGAAACATGCATTTGGCCCAGGAGCAGGAGGACATTCTCTAGTTTGGTGTCCCTGCAGCAAATGTGACAATAGGAGAAAAGTAGACGAGGTCGATGGAGATGTGGTGGTAAATGCCAAGGACGTAGCAATGCTTGAGCGATACATTGGAGTGAAATATTTACACACCTAAATTAGATTTGCATTACTGATACATTGGAGTGAAATATTGTAGGCCGAGCTGCAAGAAACAAGAAGGCAAAGTCAATAGCAGAACGCGGAGCTGACCGCACAGCTGCAGGCCTAGAAGGTCGCGTTCGAGGCCGCGCAGAAGCAGATGGCGGAGATGATGGTGATCATGCAAAGTCTTGGGCAAGCATCAGGTGTACCTCTGCAGTTTTCAGCTCCTCCACCTCCTACTCCTGCAGCTACTCCTGTAAGTATGAAAGTTCACTTTTTGCTTGTGCTTTGCATGTATGTCGGCCTTCGTGCCGTTGTGGATGTCGGCGTTCGTGCCGTTGTGGATGTCGGCGTTCGTGCCGTCGTTTCTTGCAGGTTTTGGAAACCTCCCCGTGCAGGGGAGGTGCTGCCGAAATTTTCAATTGAGTCTAATCTTTTTGTATTCCTAGATTACTAGATGCAATCTCTAAGTTCCAAAACTGTTTTCCCGGATTACTCACACATGCAATCTTTGCTCCTTTGTGCAGCTTCCGTCCGTGGGTTTCAATCAACCCGCTAGTGCGTCACCGGGTGATCCTGCTTTTCCTTCACCATCGTCTCATAGGCTAGCTTGATGAGGACTCGTGCTAGGTGATGTGGTTGGACTTTAGCGTGATTTGTGATTTATGGTTGTGACTTGTGCTTGGATTTCATTAACTTATCGTAATAAACATGTGAATGATGATGAACGTGTGACTTGTCATTATAATATATTGTGATTTGTGGTTCATAATTACGGTTGTGATATATTGTGAGAAAATGGATTATGTGTGATATATATATATATATATATGAAATGTTTGTGTCGATGGAATGCAAAAACAAAAAAAAATCTATCTCTTTGCCGAGGGCAATGACCAAGGCCCTCGGCAAAGAAGGGTCATTTGCCGAGGGCCCTAGCAATAGCCCTCGGCAAAGATTTTTTTAAAAATCTTGAAAATTTCTTTGCCGAGGGCCAGGGAGCAGGCCCTCGGCAAAGGTTTTAAAAAAAATCAAAAAAAACTATTTCTTTGCCGAGAGCCGGCCCTCAGTAAACAATTTTTTTTAAAAAACCTTTGCCGAGGGCCCTTGCAATAGCCCTCGGCAAAGTTTTTTTTGGGAAAAATCCTGAAAATTTCTTTGCCGAGGGCCGGCCCTCGGCAAAAAAATTCAAAAAAAACCACTTCTTTGCCGAGGGTCGGCCCTCGGCAAAGAAACCGCCAACGGCGCCGGCGCGTGATGGGTTCTTTTCTTTGCCGAGTGCCTGATAAAGGGCCCTCGGCAAAGACCCCTTCGCCGTCTAAAAATTCCCCGAGGGGTCTTTGCCGAGGGCAGCCCTCGGCAAAACCTTTGCCGAGGGTTTCTGGTCCTTTCCCTCGGCAAAGCATGCGAGTCCAGTAGTGTATAGAACCGGTTAGTTTTTTTTAATATGTTGTTTTAACTCTACTATTGTAATTTCGTTGTCTACATCCTCTAAATAAAGTCATAGCATGTATTGGATGAATCACAATTCGATATTGGTTTCTCTCCAAATTACTTCAGCCAAATTTTTTTAGTTACGTGCCATAAAATTGATACCATATATTGGATTCAAATTTAAAAGCACATACTAGTTTTTTTGGGTTTTAATTATTTGTGAAATATTATATAAATTACACTTACGGTCAAATACTAATGATGCAGAGACAAGTTATACTCCCTGTAAAAAAACAGAGATCTTTATTATACTCAAGAGTGACATCATGTACCAATTCAAATATCACCTAAAGTCACTACCAAACATTTTGATGAATATTTCTATGGTATTTGTCTATTTGGCAATGTTTCTGGACATTTTGATGAAGTTGATCCACCCTTGATAATTCTCCGCTACGAGAATTCTACTAAACTATATCGCATTGAGTGAATCTAGAGTTAAATTGATACGGAGGCTATACAAGGTTCTACCAATCACCTAATATAAGCAAGCTTGGTGGTCAACCTAGGGAGAGGACCACTACTTGTTGGCAACACCGTGCCTCTTAGATGATCAAATCTTGTGTCCGTCTTTGCGGCAATCATAAGCATATGATGAATATAAGGGAAAGTTGTACGCGTGCATGCATGCAATTTGCAATAAAGAACAATAACATAGACGTATGTTAAGTGAAAGCAATATATACGTGAAGAAGTTAATAACAAGTAACACATGATCTATGTAGATGGGAGGTGCCTTTTTGAAAAGGCTATACAAGGTTATAAAAATCACCTAATATATAATCAAGCGTGGTGGCCAATAGGGAGCGAGGACCATTCCTTGACCCCGCCCCTGCCCCCGCCCCCACCCCCACCCCCGCCCCCGCCCCTTCCTCCTCTTCGATGGCCAAATCTTATGTCCGCCTCTGTGGCAAATCATAAGCATGTGACAATGTAGGACGAAACTACACGTGCACTCATGCAAACGTGCAAAAAAGAACAATAACACAGATGCACGATATAAGCGAAAGCAATATATGAGGAAGTTAGTAACTGATAACGAATAATGCTGCCTTAACCTTAGAGTACGTTGTTGCGAACGAGTTCCTCTCCGATATAGGTGTAACAATGGAAGGGTAGCTAGCACCCAAAGAGACATGTTATATTATCTAGAGACGAAGTAGAAGCATATCCTAGCTAGGATGGATGAGGTGCCTCCATAGCTGTTGAGCCAAGGATATGAACATAGGACCTTGCATCTCCTAGGTTGCGCAAGTAAGATGATAGCCGCAACATGCTTACATCAGATGTAAGACGAATTCTCGGCAACCTATCCAATGCAGCCTTTTGGAAGAAACACACATGGACACAGTAATAAAATGATCTGAGACGTGTGTGACATACTGACATGAAGAAAATAAATCAACATCTAATCCAAGGAGGTTGTGCATAAAAGAGTCCAGGGACGAGTGAAACATGGGTTTGTACTGTCAGTGTTGAAGAGCACTACAACTAAATTCTTTTGACGCAACATATATATAGAGTAGAGTGAAATATTTCACTTAAATTAGTGTATGTAGTTAAAATCATATGACAAGGGGAATCTGGAATGGTAAAGATAAATTTAACAAGCACAGCAGGAGATAATAATAAGTTGGAACCTAATAGTAGGGTGTTTTAGTGCTTTTGAACCTAGTTTTCGTACTACACTCTTGTTTCCTAAGCACGTCGATCACTAGCTAAATGTGAGGAGAAGTGTTGTCACATGTACAAGTTCCATTGATGATCTCATTATGGACCATCTTTCCTAATATATAAGCTAACGGGTTGATTCCTGTAAAACAATTTATATACGTATTGCCGTATAGCAACACAGTATATAATACTATATAATACCAAGCCGAGATCTGTTGTACTTTTTCATGCTTCCTAGCCCAAAATTGGATCATAGATGAAACAAACATATATGTAACCATAAACTGTAGTCATTATTGAATCAATAACAAGGATACAAGGTAGCACTGAACATTTATCATTGTTCTATTTGGAAGGGAAAAAACTAGAAATATCAAGATTCTATTATTTCAGTTCAGAGACCACTACTTCGAGAACGGCACAGTCCAGAGTTCAGTTTTGCTCGATCGATGTCAGCAACGAGCTCACTCCATATCTGCGCGCGGATCGAGGAGCTAGCCAACGTTCAGGCGTTGAGCCAGCTCACAAAGCTGGGGGACGGCGACTCCGGCCTGGGACGCAGCCCCATGAAGTCGATCTCCACGGGGGGGTCCATGCCCATGCGGTACGGCAACCAGAAGGCATGGTTTGGCTCGAGCACAACCATCCTGATCGTTCCACCTGCGTCGGAGACGACAGGATCGTGCAGTGGCGGGGCCGGAGGCTGCCGCACCTGCACGCGCGGCAATCCGCCGAAGAAGAACCCTGGAGGCGCCACAGGCTGGCCCAGAGCCATCACCGGTGGCGGCAGGAAGAAGGAGGGTGGCAAGACTGGCATCATGCCCGGGCCCGGACCGAACCCCGGCGGCACAGGGGGGAAGGGCACCTCCTGCGCCGGCGCTTTCCCGTGCGCCTTAATGTGGCCCGCGAGCGCCCGAGCCGAGGGCCACACCTCGGCGCAGTACTCGCAAACGAAAGGGCCCCGCGGCTGCTCCGGTTGTCGTCCAGCCATGCTTCACCTACCTAGCTGGCTGGCTGGCGTTCGATCGATCGATCTCGGAACGCGCGGTGTGTGTGACGAGCGATGGATCGGAGAAGATGGTTTGCTTTGCTGCTCGCCGTGAGCGGGGGGCGCTGCCGTTTATAGAGAAGGGGCAACGGCAGGGGCGGAGGTGGTCACGCCATGCGCACGCCAAATGCCCATCGCGGCACCTACTTCTTTAAGCAGCACTGCTTATTTTCTGAAGGAGTATTTTGGCAGGGTTTAGCTGCTGCTTATCTAGTGCCATTCCACGTATACGACGATTGACCAGAATTCTTCATCCAGTGAACTTTTTGTTTTGCATGCAGGACTTGATCGGACGACCGAGAATGCATGGCTGTCTTCCCGATCTCTCTTCTGCAATGTCTCCAGGTTGTTGGTTGGTGGCTCCGGCGTCAAAACCTGTGTCGAGCAAGTACGAACTTGCTAAGCTAGCTGATGGCAACCAAATGAAGTACTCACCTTGTATGAGCAGCCTTTAAGAAGAATCTGCACCTCATTTTCTGCGTTCCAAATTTGTGCCGTGTAATTGCTAAGTTTTGCGACATTGTGCAGTCGCGTATGGAGATTGATTGTTGTGCGCATTTCCTATCCTACAGGTGCCCGAAAGTGAAGATGAACTAGCAACAAGGGAAAAGATGTTCGATCCATGGTTGAGGATGAGTATTGATGGTTGGATTTAGATTAGATGGATGATGTTTGTCGCCTGAAAGGAAAGCAAAAATCAGGCGCCTGTGATTTAACAAACTCATTGTTGTGAGCACTAAAAATTCCCACCTAGGGCTAGGGATCTAGCTAACATATGAACGGGGTGGTGATCATATGGATGCATGGATCGGATTCGCACAATTCTACTACTCTTGGTATGTGTACGACAAACAAAAGAATATAAATTTCAAGGGCCACTTTTCCTTGGAATTTATATACAAATTGTTTTTTTCTTATCTCGGTATAATCTGTGATGTTTGGCTAGAATCAATGAGAGTTTTATCAGAGTTTCATATGCATTTAATAAGTTGCCACGTAAGTATTTGTTATTATGTGGCAATATTTTTAAGAGAAGAGAGAAGATGCAGGTTTCATGTAGACGAAACTCTCTTGATTCTTCGGTTTTTAACTCTAAATGATGAGTCCTAGAATTAAATATCTATGAAACAAAAGAATAAAACTATGCATTAAGAGTAGTTGTTTTATCCATTGCATTCTATATTCTTGTAAAAAAAATGTTATGAAAATCTTCACTGAGAATGCCGTCAGTAGAAGCTTAATTACCATGCAAATCAGGCTTCCTTCAAAAGAAAAAAAAAAAAGTGTAGCTACACTGCTAGAAGATCGGAAGTCCTGTCGGTGTGGTGGTAGTTTATGATGCTGATTTTAGCGATGATTTTGAAATGGCCACCTTACGGGTATTTAGTATTTCATTTCAATCGGAATATATGGCGAAAAAAGAACAAGGCGACTTCACTACATGTTGGCTTCTTTGTCCAAACAATTTAAGAACTAACGACAGAAGTAACTTCTCGATCGACCGCTAGCTATAACAGTGTGTTGGAGCTATTAGAGCTATATTAGCATCAAAAGTCTAATTGCTACAAAGGCACTTGAGTGAAAAATGTAACTCAATAATCAGCAATATATATATGTATGTACATGATTAAAAAATTAATATAATATATACTCAACCACCCAGGCTCAAATTCTCTCCAGGACTGAGTATATTACATCTTAGGAAAGTGAGTCTATGCACCCAACCATCCAGGTTTAAATCCTCTCTTGTACCAAATTTAGGTATTTATTTCTCTTCTTAATGATTAATGAAAAACCACCTAATTCCTCCTAGGTTGGGTCTTGTTTTTTTTATATTACATCTTGAGTTGAACTAATTATATATTAGATATATGTACATATACGTGCATTCTAGGTAATATGCCGCTGCAATTTGAGCTGCTGGAGTACCAGTTCCTTTGTACACAACCAGAATTTTAGACTTCTCCTAGTGACGTGGGCTTCAAAATTTAGTATAAACTTTTTCTACCAAATGCCTCTAGTGAGGATTCCCATGTGCTATGACTAGTGGTAATATTTTACTACTACTTAAAAATATTAGGAGAATTCCACCATTTTTGTAGTGGTATGTGCTAGAATCCAATGTATTCCATGAGTAGGTAATCTTTCCCAAGTACAAGAATTCTTTTTTCTGACAGTGTCCAATCATTTTCATTAAGGCCCTCCTTGACATGCGGGGTTTTTCGTGTTTTCTGTGTTGGTACTTCAAATTAACTACTAGGCATTAGACTAGAGAATGTTGGTCATTCTATTCTTTTCTTGCTGGCTGAGTGACTTGCTTAAGGCTAGTCTCAGTAGGAGTTTTATGTGAGTTTCATTTGCATTAAATAGGTTGTCACATAGGTATTTTTTATGACATGACAGTGTATTTAAGAAGAGAGAGAAGAAATGAGACTCTCTTGACACAATTACCAACTCGATATGAGTCATGAAATTAAATGCTTATGAAACTATAGGCGCCGTTCGCTGGTCTGATTTTTTCAGACCAGCCGGCTGCTTCTCTCATAAATCACTGTGCATCCTACAGTATTTCTCCCTCACACAACCAGTCAGTTTCAGCCAAGTTTCAGACCAGCGAACAGGGTCATAGAATGAAACTTTGCATTGACGGAGAGGGTTTCATCCAAGTTTCATTTCATTCTATATATCTTGGAAATAACGCCTTGAAACTATCCACTGAGACTTATGTTTGTTTGTGGGCAATTACAAATTGTGGCAGCTAATTTTGTGAGGAGAACTAGCTCGATCGGCCTTTGTTGATACAGCCTATTTTGTTTTGACGATCCATATATATATCAAAACTCTGGTTACATGTTGGTTAGAATATCAGACTGGGAATTATGTGTAGAATCACGAATGGGTTTCAACCTGGGAGCCGTCTCTAATAGTTTTCTAAGTGGACTTCAAAAGTAAATAATCTTCGAATCGTAGGATGACCAGTACTGATTTTATTTCTTGACTAGATAGACGCTAAGAACATGTTTGACAGAACTCCAAAATAGTTCACAGGTTAAATTTAGGAGGAACTCTGCCAAACAATATATGCAAGAAAAAGATTTTATGCTAATTCTACAAAGTGATTATTTGAAATGAAATAGAAGGATGAAAGCTGAAAAATAGCTCCTCCTGATTCACTACCCGCGCAGATCATGAATCGCTTCTTACATAAATTTTATCGTAGAGAATCATTTCTCTCAGACAATCACTTTCCACACAGATTTAGGAGAGAAAAAAAGTTCTATCAAACATGCCCAATACTTCACAAATAAAGCTAATAAGTGAGAGGTTGTTGACATATAGATTGATTTTGCTGTATAACAGCTCTCTCACAGGTTACAACTCGACTAGATGACAACACACAATACAGAGGAACACAAAAACATAAAGCTAAAGATGTTGGAGACTGCAGAGAGTAACATGATTGATTCCTCTGCTATCGGCTTTACGGGACTTTGTCACTGGCAAAGTGGGTCTAATGAACATTAGACCCATCAGTCAGTGACAAAAACCACCGTGAAATCGACTCCATAGACGACTCATCACTCGACACATTAGAGAAAAACACAAAAACTGAAAGCTAAAGATGTTGAAGACTGCAGACTGCAGAGACTAACAGGATTGATTCCTCTGCTACCGGCTTCACGGGACTTTGTGTCACTAACAAGTAGGTCTGATGAACATCAAACCAATCTGTCAGTGACGAAAAGTCACCCAGAAGTTGACTCCATAGACGACACATCACTGAGACTAACATGACCATAGGACTGGATAGCTGTAACTAGCGCAGATGATTTTCATTCCATGCATGCGTTCACAAACGACACTACCTGCCGGCCGATCGAGGATGACTCCGGCCGGCACGACTCCGCGCTGCTTTCACCGGCGGCCAAGAGTTAAGTTGAGAGGATCATCATGTAATTTGAGTTTGACCATGTCCTCGTCCCCGGGCTTCACATAGTTCCAGTAAGCACCAGCGTATGTCCATGGTTCCGGAGGAGGGGCCGGATTAGCATGCAGATCTGGCGAGTTAGCACCTTCGCTGCCCACGACGATGGGCAGGACACGAAGACAAGAGATAGTACACTTCCACACCAGCGACGGCGCGCCGCCCGGCTGCTGCTGCAGCATGCCCATGGTGACCTTGAAGTGGTGCTCGCAGGAGCAGACAAGCAGCCGCGCCGGCGTGGCACCCGGGCCCCGGGGATCGCGATACAGCGGCCCCACCGGCGGCGGCGTGAGAAGATTAAGGGTGATGGGTACGGGGGGCGCCGGGTAGACATGCCCCGGGACAGGATTGAGGGAAGGGAACTCATGCGCGGCGAAGCAGAATGCGCAGTTGCAGTAGGCGCAGATCACAGGTCGGTCGACTTGGCGCGGGGGCCGGCTGGCGTCCGGCGGCGCCAGGGCGTTGAGGTCCAAGTCGGGGCCTTCCGAACGTATCATCGGGATCCGGCCGTGGGTGCGCAGGTAGCTGTTGATCGCCTTCCCGGCCGCCACCACCGCGCGGGCGCTACTTTTGACCACCTGACTCGTCGCCTCATCGACGGCGGCGACCGGTTGCCCGTCTTCAGGAGTCGGGATGACCGGCACGCCAGCACGGACTACCTGCAAGACGGGGTTAGTCTGCTTCCTCCCCGGCTGCGGCGGCGGCACGGACGTAGATGAGCCGGAGTCGGAGATGGTGTCGGGGTCGGCGGGCGCCGGGATCACGCGAGCGGCCGCCGTGTTTCTGCTCATCATCTCTCCCGGCTTACGACGGTGGCTTCGGTGGCTGCTCGAAACCGAAGCAGGCTCCTCTACTTGCCGTGGTGGCTCTGGCTGCGAATGCGAACGGTGGCTGCCGTGGTGTGGTGTGGGGTGTGGTGTGGTGTGTCACGCCTGGCACTCATGCACGCGACGCGTGA